GTTGTTATTTATATATAATTAAATTAATATTAATTTTCACTTTTCCATTCTCTATTTCCTCCTCCTATAAATTCTATGTGAATATATCTTAATATTAAAAAGTATTAAAACTAAGAAAATAAATTAAATTTATGAATTGGTTAATTAATTTTAAATTGTTGATTAAATTTAAAAGTGTTTTTTATACAATTTATTATAAAAATAGTTTAAATACAATTAATTTAATATATTTTTATTTAATAAAGAGTTTTTTAATATAAATAGTAAGCTATGATATCATTTCTATTGAATAATTTAAATTGGTTTGTAATCTTTGGAGTTAATTTATTTATATCCACATTTTTTGAAGAATTGCTAGGATTTTTTAAGCTATAATTCTTATTATATTATTTTTAATTTTTATATATTTTAGTGGTAGTATTTTTCTATAAATTATTGAGAGCGAACTGAGTATTCTACATCTTCAAACAAATAAGATAGTTCTTTTTTGGTAAAGTCTTCGAAACTTAGATTATTTTTTTCAGAATTAAGGAGTCTCTCCCTGTAATTAATAAGATTTTAAAGATCTTGTAAGTCAACATCTAACTCGTTAATATGAAATATAAACTCATTCTAAACATTTAAAATCTTATTGCATTAACTCATTAGCTAAATAATTCTTTTTTAGAAATAAATTTTGATTGGAAAACCATCAAAAGTTACTATGTTATAAACATAATAACAGTCTTCAATATTATACAAAAATCTGTTACATATTCCTTACAGAGATAAATCTATAATTTCATCTTTGTTTTAAATTAAATCAACTTTTTAGCCTCTAAATATCAATTAGCTTAGATTATCAATATCGAGGCCAATAAAGTCTAAATATGATTTAGAAAACGCGTATTTCACAATCTCTGCATCTTTCTTTAGAATGTTTATTCTTCCTATGCAATATTAATAGATTTAATTTTAGTTTTATAAGGCGTATTCTCTCATATATTATTCGCTTAGTTGGATGTGCAACATAAAATATTCATCATGCTATTCAATTATATCTTTAGTAATTATAATATTGTTTAATATATTTATTAGCTATTCTTTAACATTTTGATAAATTTCTAGTATCTGTAAAACTTCTTTTTGCTTGTTGATTTTCATATTCTAATTTTTAAAATATTTCATTTAATCTAAAATTTTCATTTAAAAAAAATTAAATATTGAAATTCATTATCATAGAAAATAAATACCTGCAAATGCATAATGGCATCTTAAATAGGTGTTAATTAGTATTGTTAATCGTCTGATAATAAGCACTGAGCCTATTACTAATGCTTTAAATATTAAAAACTCAAAATCTGTTAAGTTTAGAAGCCTAAGCTAAAAATTCCTGTGCTATGACTGAATCTAATTGTTCCATCTTATTCAATTTAAAGACCTTGCGAAATTCTGATCATATTATTTGAATATAAAATTCTACAAATATTTGTCACTGCTACTTATTTTTACTTACATTTTTTCTTTTAGTCTAAATTTAATTTCGTGTGGGTTGTATTTATTTTATTGTTATTATCAGAGCTTTGCTCATTTTATTGGCTAGTTTCTGATTATATATTTTACCCAACAAAATGTCCATTTGACTAATCAATAATTAAATCAGAGTTTAATGAGGATAAGTCCTTATTTTCGAATATCTAATTTGTTGGCTAATAGCTTATTTTAGAGCGAAAGCATTAGTCAGTTGATTCTTCAAAATCTAATAAATTTTGCTGATCTATAAAAGAAATATTTTCGATTTCCATTTATTGCTTTTTTAGTTGTTTTTAGTGTTTTTTTGGATATTTTTTGATTGATTAAATAATAAAAAAAATTGTAATTAGATTTTTTAAGATAGATTGCCTTTAAAGAACTATCAATCAAAACTCTCAAAAATTTGATCAAAAAAATATACATGAAAAGGCTTTTAAAGAAAAATATAAATTATTTAATGTATCATTTTATTTGAGGCTAAAGCTAATTTAGAAATTATTTCTAGAGAAAGTTCTACTTATGTAAAATGAGTGTTTCTAAAACATTTGAAATTAAATAGGGAATTATTAAGAATATTTTCATTCATTTCCTTAATAATCATTTATTTATTATATAGCAAATAGAATAGTGTTAAAATTCAAATAAACAAAAGTAAAAGTATATCCAGCCAGAGACTTTAAAATAGGAATTGAAAATTAAATGATGAACGTCAAATATATAAATAATCGTAATTCACCAGTGTTTACTTGCGTAAAGATATAAGGTTATAAAAAGTAATAGACAAAATAAGAAATAAATAGGAACTCTTTAGTTTATCATCAATAATTAATTGCTATATTAGCTCTAATAAAGCATTTCTTTTATTCATGTATGAATTTTATTTTTAAAAGTTTAATTCTTTTAATCTACTAAGCTGAATAAAATAAGGGCAAACAAATCACTAATTTCAATAAATATGATATTTATTTTTCAAAATTAACATACAAAATGATAAAATTAAATTTATCTTTTCGATTATATGTAATGAGAATGAAACCTCTTAAAAAGAGACTCTAAAATAGACAATTTAAAATATATTAATTTAATACTTTCGAAATTGATTTAAAAAATATTCAGTTTAATATATAGTGTTTGCAAAGTAAAGTGTGAATTAATGTAAGTGGGTAAGTGGTTAGTTAAAACTATGAAAAAATGTTTCAATAAAGTAGTTAAAATTTATAGTAAGTTATTGTTTGTTAATAAATTAATAAGAGTATGTGTAAATTGGTTATTTATTTTTAAGTTTTTGCATTTTATGGTTATAATAATTTTTTTATTTTGAATAAGCTTTGTCATTTTTTAACTTCAACTATTTTTTTTTTTGAGTATTGCGTTGGAATCAATGTTATACAATTAATGGAGTATTCTTAATTTATTTATATCCACATTATCTTTATCTAATTTTATTTTGTAGTTCTTCCTCTATTTAAAACATTTTGTCTAGATTTTCTTTGTAGTATTTTTCTAAAAAGTTTTAAGAGTGGATAGAATATTCAACATCTTCGAATTTATATGAAAGCTCTTTTTCGATGAATTCATCTATTGTAAGATTATTAGGATTTAACAATATTTTTTATCTGTACTAAATTAATCTTTGTAAGCTATCAATATCTACATCCATTTCTATAACTGAGAAAAAATATTCATTTTTCATGTATTGCTAGCAGTTCTTATGAATAGGTAGTTTTAAGTATCTCTTTTTCTAGAGCAAAACTAAAGGAAATCCATCAAAAGTTTGGATTTTAACAAATTGTTCTTCCTAATCAATCATTTTGCATTTAGACTCTATGCCTGAGAAAGTATACATGATTCTGTCTGACTAGTCTTTTATTAAGTCTACTTGTTATTTACGAAGGTAAATTGTACTCAAAGAATCTTAATTCAATCCAATTAATTCCAAATAACTCTTAGAAAATCCTGTTTTAATGACTTGAATGTCCTTTTATCTGAAATTTATTCTGCCCATAGAATACCAAAACATATTTGTTTAATTTTCATTATTAAAATTCTAGTTTAAATATTCGTAGCAGCAATCGATAAATTCAATAAATTCTTAGTCCTTCATAATAAGTTATTCTTCAGTGAGTCTTAAACGTTAAACATCTTCATGTTATTTCTTTACTTTATTATATATTGTTTTAAGATCTGTTTCGATTTATCTAAATTAAATTCCCTCCTTCTTTCTTAGAAAGTTTAATGCTTCTTCAATCGAAGACTAGCGAATCGTACTATTTGTAGTAAAATGTAAATCCACAACACCCAGATTCTTTTTATCTTCAACACATTCTACAATTTATTGCTAATAATTAAAACTCAATGATGCAAGTGAGGAGCATAATCTCAAAGTTCCATCACTCATTAATGTCATTCCTGTCCATAATTTCATTCGATCTAAACCAAATAAACCAAGATTAATATTTTGTTGAATACGAAGTGGGCGTTCATCACTTTTTTTATATTTAAAATTTCCTCTAAACTCTAAATCAATGTAATTATTATAGATATCTCTTAATTCCAAAGCACTATGATCAAAATTATATGTAGAAGAATTATCACTTTATTCATTAGAAATGACTTTCTTATTGTTTGCTTTCTAATGTTATGTAATTTAATTATGGTAAAAGTAAAAAAAATGATTTTAATCTAAATTTGAGTTTTAGTTAAAAGTGTCTTTGTAAACAAAATTATATTCTATCTCCATTTTTTGCTTTAATTGATATTTATTTATAATATTGAATGCTATTCAAGTGAATAAGAAGGAAATTATTAGTTTTTTCCAATATTATTTCAGATTATCCAATTGGCAATGTTTTTCGATGCTTTGCATAATTAGATCAAAATACATGTAAATTAATTGAAAATTGTAAGTTTTTTAATATAAATTGATAATTGTGGTAGTAAATTAAATTAAAACCCATGACACATTCTTTCATTAATACATTTAATTATTAATTAGTTAGCTTGCTTTTTAATTTGCATTTTCTCAGATTATATTTATTATTTTATTATATTAAATCACTCTAACGTTATTGGATTGTTTATTCAACTAAATTTTTTTAAATTTTCTATTTTGATGCAAGTATTTGTGAAAATATAAAGACATTGAATCTTTTAATAAACAATGAACAAATTTATTTTGCTTAAAAAATATTTTATTACCAATCCACACTTATTTTAATTAAATTAAAATTCAATTGATTTCTCAAATTTATTTTACCCAAAAATAATTTACTTAATAAACTTTTTTATTAATCATTTACTATTTAAATTGAATAAAAAATTTTGAAGTTGCCAATTAAAAAATTAAATTTTGTTTACATATTAAAATATTTGTTTATGATATCATTATTTTTTGAAATTATATAGAGTAAAATGCCATTTCGATTTACAATAAGCGAAATTTAATTTTTTGAATTAATTAAGATAATTAAAGGCCTTCTAAAAAATAGTGATACATACTACTTTAGTAGATTTTAGAAAGGGATTTAGTTATACTATATACTTTTACTATTTAATTTTAATTCAATTTATTAGAGAAAAAATATTTTAGAAAGTAGAATATGAAATTATTACAATGATTAGAAGATAATTTAAAATTTTTGTATAAATTTGTAAACTACATACATATATAGCATATATAATAATAAATATCCACTTTTTGATAAGAATAAATGATATGCAATCTAATTTATTTTATATGTAAAAGATTTAATGATTATATATAATTTGATTTTTAGTAAGCTTACCATAATTAGACTTGCGCATTAATATATTTTTAATTAAGAAAATACCAGAGAAGTACTTTTTTATCTCAAATTTTATCAGTAATTACAAAAAATTTTGAGCTTGATTATTGAATGATATAGACAACTCTTTATATTTATTTATTCATTTATTTTTATCAAAGACAGATTGATCAATTGTATTTAAATTGCTTTGAAAAAAATTTTTCTTAATACTTGAATAAAAAAATCAATTAGATTGAATTAGATAATTATTTTAATTGATAATATTATTATACATTTTATTGATCATAATAATAAAAATTTAAAATATATTTAAAATGATCTTTTTGCAATGATTATTTATCTTTATTTATTTTTCATATTTAAATTAAAATAATTCAAACAATCGTATTTTTGTGATATTAATTATTAAAATTTGGATTAATTAATCTGAAACCACATGGTTTTTTCTCTTCTTTTTTTTTAGTTAACTATTCTTGTAGCTTAATCATTTATTCTAAGTTTTCTTTGTAGAATTTTTCTATAAAAGATTGAGAATGAATTGAATATTCTACGTCTTCAAATCTATATGACAATTCTTTTTAAATGAATTCTTCCATTGACATATTATTTGAATTTTAAAAAATCTTGAGCCTGTATTCTATAAGCCTTTGAAGTTCTTAAATATCAATATCGAACTCAATTAGTAAGAAAAAATAATCATTATACATCAAATAGTTTTTTTTAGCCTCTTCATTCTTGATATAATATTTTCTTTGTATCAGATTCAAAGGGAAACCATCAAATGTTTATAATTGAATTATATACTTTTCTTCGGTAGGATAGTTAAACTTGTTATCCATAACCTCAATCGTTTGCTAAGTTATCTTATTCTTCTCTTTAATGAGATCTACTTGATGCTTTCTTAAATAAATAGAGCTCAAGCTAGACTAATTTAATCCTAATAACTCTAAGTAGCTTTTTGAAAATCCTGATCTCAAATATTCAGATTAATTATCTCTGTAGTTATGTCTCCCTATCTAATACCAAAACATTTGTGAAGAATTTTCTTTGTTTTAGGCATAATATCTATCAAGATAATCGTAGCAGAACTCAAAATGCCTTTGTAATTCCTCGTCTTTTAAGTCAAGCTAAAAATTGTTTAAATTAAACATGCTGCTTCTCTGCAAAAGGCTTTAAACAAGATTATAAAAGCGAGTTAACTAAAACTCTACTTTATAAAAATCTATTCCTTCTACTTTTTAGAGGAAAGAAAGTATCTCTCCTATTGTATATTGTCTTAAAAATGGATTCTAAGAAAGATGCAAATCAACTATTCCTAAATCTTTTTTATCTTCAATGCGATCAACTATCTGCTGTTAGTAATTAAAACTAGTTGAACCTTGTAAGGTACACATTCTTAAAGCTCCATCATTAGTCAAAGTTAAACCATTAATTATTTTCATCATATCATACGACGCTAACTATATATGAGAATTCCACATAATTGATGTTCTTTTCATTAACTGACCTTGATTATTCCGTTAAAAATTATTATCATTTTCTTATAATTATTCTTCATCTTATTCTAATTCTAATTACAAAATATTGCTGTTAATATTATCATATTTATCATAAATATTCAGAGAAGATGTTTCCTATTAAAGAATTGGTGATGAGCTATAATAGCAGTTTTAATATAGCTTTGATGCTTAATTATATCCTTCAATTTGCTAATAAATTTAACTATAATCCAGAGATTAGCTTTATGCAAAAAACTAATTATCCTCCTATTCCATTTTACTTGTTTATTTATTATAAAAATGTTTGTAAAATCTATATTTATTTATTTAATTTATTAATAATAAAATATCAAATAATTAATGGTGATATCTCTTAATTTTATTAGATGATGATACTATAATGAATTAGAAATTTAATTTTAATTAAAAACCATCATTTTTTTTCTAAATAGATAAAAGATATATATATATAATCTTGCAAAGTTTATTATAGACTCCAAGCCACTTCATATTAGCTCAGAATTTAATCCATTTATTCTATGATTAGTTCTTTTGATTTTAAAATCCTAATTATAAATTTCAATAATTCTGAAATTTTTCTTTATTTAGAATTTACATATTATTAATTAGAAATTAATTTCTTATTATTTAATATTTTACTTTCAATTTTCCTTCTTACTAACTAATTTATTTTTTTCACTATTTAAAAAGGTAGAATTAAATTTGGTGCACTTATCATTTATCTCAAAAAAAAAAATTTAATAATTCTGATCAGTTTTTCATTATTTTCCATATTTTCTTTTTGATAAATGAACTGATTTTATTAAAATGTATTTAAATATTTTGTTTGTATTCTCTATTTTGTCTTTATGTTTAAAAATTTTGTTGGTTGATTTTAATTATATCTAAAGTCTATTTAAAATTAAATTGGATATTGCTAATCATTAAAAGAGCGTATTTTTATTAATTACTTAAATTATATATTATTTTGATACATTAACAAATAACAAGTTTTTACTTAAAAAAACAAAAACTTGAATATTTTATTCCAATTATATATTCAAATTAATTGCAATACTAAGATTTTATTATTTATTTATTTTGATTTAAAGAAAAGACTAGGGAATTTGTTGTAATAAATTTGAAAATAGCAATAAAAATATAATAAATTATAAATTTTACTATGACTCTTGAAAAAGATGAAGTATAAATTAAAAAATGAATAAAATGGATATAAAAAATAAATACTTACATTTAATATTAAATTACAATTTTTATTTATTATTTATTAATCAATTATTTCTAATCATACTGTTAATAAATAAATATTTAATTATTCATTTTAGTAAATTCAATCTATTTTTAATTTTACTAATCTTTTTATTTTTTGAGCTAATCTTTTTATTTCTACATTTCTTTATTCAGGCAATTCACTTTTAATAAATATAAATTTAATTTTATATAATTAAAAATTTTACTTAAAATTAACTAATTTTAAACAAAAAAAAGTAATTACTATAAAAATAGATTCAATAACTTTATATTTTTACAGTTGATAATTTCTCTGGATTTTAGAAACTTCTTGTCATTACTTATAAGATAAAAATATATTAAATAGCATCTTAAAAACTTTAACATAATTTTTTTGAAGAGTAATAAATGACATTTACTCTGATCTAAAAGCTAAATTTGTAAGTTAAGTGTAGTTACTCAAGACTAATCCAATATGTTATGCTCCTTTATCACTGATACGATTGCCACTTTTAAAACAAAATAAATTAATTTATTAACTATTTAAATTTGTTTTGAAATTTAAATCCAAATATATGAAATAATTTAAACTTTTTTTAGTAATCAATAAATAATTATAAAATAATTTTACTAAATGTCAAATGTGAGATTAGTTAGGAATTTGCAGTTACCAAGTGCTGTACCAATAGTAGAAGCTCCATCATTTCCGATTTAATTATAGCTTTTAAATAATGCAAAACACATTTAATTTAAAATTTAAGATATTTAAAAATTAAAAGTGTTTTTTAATTTAGTTTGAATAAAAAGCTTTGACTTAATTTTTTTTAAAAGTTATAAATGAATGAAATAAATTTACCTTATGTAAAATTGTAAATTTGTAAGTTGAGTGCACTTACTCAAACCTAATCCAATATTTTATGCTCCTTTATCACCGATTTAATTGTGCCTTTTAAAACAAAATAAATTAATTTATTAACTATTTTAATTTGTTTTGAAATTTAAATCAAAATATATAAAATAATTTAAATTTTTTTTAGTTATTTATAAATAATTATAAAATAATTTTACTAAAAATCAAATGTGAGATTAGTTAGGAATTTGCAGTTACCAAGTACTTTACCAATAGTAGAAGCTCCATCATTCCCGATTTATTTATAGCTTTTAAATAATGCAAATCACATTTAATTTAAAATTTAAGATATTTAAAAATTATAAGTGTTTTTTAATTCAGTTTGAATAAAAAGCTTTGACTTAATTTTTTTAAAAGTTATAAATGAATGAAATAAATTTACCTTATGTAAAATTGTAAATTTGTAATTTGAGTGCACTTACTCAAACCTAATCCAATATTTTATGCTCCTTTATCACCGATATAATTGCACCTTTTAAAACAAAATAAATTAATTTATTAACTATTTAATTTGCTTTGAAATTTAAATCAAAATAAAAAAAAATAATTTAAACTTTTTTTAGTTATCATTAAATAAATATAAAATAATTTTACATAAATAGAGATGGTTAAGGTATCCATATGCTGTTACCAAACGCTGTACGAATAGTAGAATATCGATCATTCCTAATGTAATTCTAGCTTTTATATAATGTTAATCAGGTTTAATTTAGAATTTAAGATATTTTATAAATTAAAAGTATTTTTTAATTTAGTTTGAATAAAATGCTTTGACTTAATTTTTTTAAAAAGTTATAAATGAATGAAATAAATTTACCTTATGCTAAATACTAAATTTGTAAGTTGAGTGCACTTACTCAAACCTAATCCAATATTTTATGCTCCTATATGACCAATCTGATTGCCCCTTTTAAAACAAAATAAATTAATTTATTAACTATTTTAATTTGTTTTGAAATTTAAATCAAAATATATATAAAAGATAATTCAAACTTTTTTTAGTTATCAATATAAGGGGGTAGGGCAACACGTATTCGACATCTTTATTTTTATATGTATTAGTATTTTTTCTAAAAATAAAAAGGTGACACACTAATCGCCCTACCCTCCTACCCCGCTATAAATAAATATAAAATAATTTTACCAAATGTAAAATGAGAGATTAGTTAGGAATTTGCAGTTACCAAGTGCTGTACCAATAGTAGAAGCTCCATCATCCCCAATTTAATTTTTGCTTTTATATATGCAAATCACATTTAATTTAAAATTTAAGATATTTTATTAATTAAAAGAATTTTTTAATTCAGTTTGAATAAAATGATTTGACATAAATTTTAAAAAGTTATAAATGAAATAAATTTACGCTATGCTAAATACTAAATTTGTAAGTTGGGTGCACTTGCTCAAACCTAATCCAATATTTTATGCTCCATCATTTCCAATTTAATTTCCACTTTTAAAATAAAATAAATGGTTTAATTGATTATTGAATTTATTTTAGAATTTAATGAAAAACATAAACTTAATTTTACTTAATCAAAAATTAGAGATTAGCAAGGTAATAAAATAATAAATAAAAAAAAACTTCTTAATTAAAATTTTGTAAATTTAATCTGAATAAAAATATTAAATTTCATTATTTGAAAAAATAAAAAAAGATATTTATTTACTCCATTCCTATCTCTAAATTCTTAAGCTGATTACATTAACTTAAACCTAACCCAACATTTAAAGCTCCTTTATCAGAAATTTTATTTTGCCTTTTAAAATAAAATAAAACAAATTATTTTAAATTAGTCTCTTATCTAATTTTTTTATAATTATCAAAATTGTAAAATTAAAATTACCTAAGACAAAATTTTAAATTAATAAGTAACTATAAGTTACTTAATGCTGTTCCAAAACTAAATGCTCCTCCATCACCAATTTAATTATTACTTTTATAATAAAAAATAATATGGTAATAAATAAATAAAATAATTATCCTTTATTGATTAATTTAGATCATTTTAAAATTAATTACTCTAAATATAAAAAATATTAAAATCTTTTTAAATTTTGAAAAATGAAAAATCAAAATTAATTACCATAGCACAAATTTTAAATTCTCAAGTAATTAACAGCTACCTATTACTGTACAAATAGCTGATGCTCCTTCTTCTCCAATTTAGTTGTTACTAATAAAACATAAAATGATATATATAAAAAATTATTGGCAACTTAAAAAAAGTTTTAGTTATGAAAAGGATTAAAAATTTATTAAATTGTCAACAATTAATTTTTTTTATCCTTAAAAAAAACTAAAATGAATTACGAGAGATTAATATCTAGATGAGTCAACATTTTACAACTACTTAATGTCTTACTTATAGAAAATGCACCTTCTTTTCCAAATAAATTTGCACTTTTTTAATTTTTATTTACAATTTGGTGTAAAGTAATATTGAAAAATAATTTTTTAATTTATAAGCAATAATCAATAAAGTTTACACTGCATTTAAAGTTAAAGTTGTGAGTTTAGCACAACTACTAATACCTTCTGCAATAATAGATATCCCTCTGTCACCTAATTTATTTTTCCTTTCCAAAAAAGATATTGAATAAATAATTTTTATGCTCTTTAAACAATACAATAAATAAATATAAATGAAAAAATATGTTTAATGTAATTGAAATAAAATTACCAAAGCTGTAGATTTAAGTTGTTAAGCGTTTTGCATCTACGTAATATTTTACAAATCCAAACTGCACCTCCATCTCCTAATTAATTTCCGCTTTTATTATAAAATATTATTGAATAAAATTTAGTAAAGATAATGAAAAATGTCAATGACTTTTGAAAGATGAACTTAATTATATTAAAATTAAATAAATAAATAAATAAATTATACTCTAAATTTAGCTATAAACTGTTTAGATTAATTAGATTGCTCATAGTTTCTTCTAATAGAATATTTCCTTAAGCTTCAATATCTTTTAATCTTTCAAATTAAAAATAAATCAATTAAATATCAACAGTTAGTTCTATTTTACCTAAGTTCTTGACAGTCATGATTTTTTTTTTTGTAAAAAAAATTTAGGAAAAACAAAATTTAGGAGTATATTTAATCATTGCTATTAAAATAAATAAAATTGTAGCTATTTTAATTTAAATTATTAATTAACATATAAATTAATATTTTATTTAACATAATTTAAGATAGATTAAACTTTTAGCTTTTTATAAATGGTAGAAATAACTAGGATTGTCAGTCAATGTTATAATTTATTAAACAATTTATTCGTTATATAAAGAATTATTTAAATAAAAAATATATTTATTTACCTCACATTGTTACTAATTTCAACAAAGTTCTTTATGCGGCAATATTTATTCAATAATTAATTTATCTAATCATCTGAAATATTTTCCTTACTACATGTTAGATTGATAGCAATAATTAATTATGCAATTTAAGAAAATAAAGTTAAATGATTACTTAAGATTTAATACTAAAGATTCTAATTTTTAACATTATACTAAACAATTGTTAAGCTAAGCAACTTATTTATCACTAAGAGTGCAATTTCTATTTATTTTATTAATAATAACAAAACAATTTAATTTATGAATAAATTAATGAATGAATAAATAAATAAATATTTATATATGTTTCTTACTTTAACTATAAGTCAATATGAGTTTGAGCTATCAAATTAGATTTCATTAACTTTTATTTAAAAAAAAGATTTTATCATAATAAATAAAGTTAATAATGATTAATACATCTTATAGAATATTTAAAGTGTTATTCTATTACTTCCTTTTTTTTTAGTTATTTCCCATTTATATACCTTTAATTATTTATTTATTTATTAATTAATAATGATCAGAAATTAATAATTATAATTAATTAAAAAAATTATTGCTTTTGTTTTTTAAATATTCTTATTTAATTTGCTATTCTAAAAAATATACTTTAGATTCTCCTATATTATTACCCATATATATTTATTAACATCCATTTTTTGAAAATTTTTACTTATAAATCATAAAAAATTAATTTAATTTTTATTAAAATATTTAAATTTAAAAACTTATAATAACTATATAAATAAATTTGTAATTTTAAATATAGATTCAGTACAAACTTATCCTTGATAAATATGCCATTTATTTTATTTGATTTTTTAAAAAGAAAGAAATTTAGCAACTAATAAATAATTAATTAATATTCTAATAAATAATACAAAAGAAACAAAGAAGAATTTAATAATTTAATTAATTTCTTAAATAATATCTAATTACTTACTGCAATATATTTTATTTGTATGTACTTAATTTACATATAATTAATTATTAAAAAAATGTATTTTATTAGTAAATTATCTGTAAACTTTTTTTAAATTTCAAAGAAATAGAATATTTTTTTCATTCCTTTGCATCTTATTATGAACAAATTTATAAACTACATATACATGTAATTTATAGATTAATAAATATTCTTATTTTGATAAGAATAAATAAATGCTATATAAATTAATATATTTTCTATATAAATATTTAATGACTATAAATGATTTGATATTTAGTAAGCTTACCATAATTAAGCTTGCGCAATAATATATTTTTAATTAAGAAAATATCAGATAACTTTTTTATCTCAAATTTTATCAGTAATTACAAACATTTTTGAGGATGATTATTGAATGATATAGACAATTCTTTATGTCTATTCAATTTAATCAAAGACATATCATTTTTAAATTCCCTCCAAAAAATCAACTAAATTGAATTTGTTTATTTTTTAATTGGTAAAATTATAATCCATTTTATTAATTATTATGGTTAAAATTTAAAATAATAATCAAAATTGATCGTTTTGCAATGATTCTTATCTTTATTATTCATATTTAAGTTAAAATTCAAACAGTTGTATTTTTGTGCTATTAATTAATAACATTTTGATTGATCAATTTGAAACCACATTGTTTTTTCTGATCCTATTATTTAATTAGCTATTCTTTTAGATTAATCATCTGCTCTAGATTTTCTTTGTAGAATTTTTCTATAAAAGTTTGAGAATGAATCGAATATTCTACGTCTTCAAATCTATATGACAATTCTTTTTAAATGAATTCTTCCATTGATAAATTATTTGGATTTTAAAAAATCTTTAGTCTGTATTCTATAAGCCTTTGAAGTTCCTAAATATCAATATCGAACTCAATTAAAAAGAAAGAATAATCATTATACATCAAATAGTTTTTTCTGGCCTCTTCATTCTTGATATAATATTTTCTTTATATCAGATTCAAAGGGAAACCATCAAATGTTTAAACTAAAATTACATATTTTTCTTCAGTAGAAGATTTAAATTTATTATCCATAACCTCAATAGTTTGCTATGTTATCTTATTCTTTTCTTTTATGAGATCTACTTGATGCTTTCTTAAATAAATAGTGCTCAAACTAGACTAATTTAAACCTAATAACTCTAAGTAGCTTTTTGAAAATCCTGATCTCACAAATTCAGATTAATGATCTCTGTAGTTGTGTCTCGCTATCGAATACCAAAACATTTGTGAAGAATTTTCTTTGTTTTTGGCATAAAACCTATCAAGATAATTGTAGCAAAACTCAAGATGCCTTTATAATTCCTCATCTTTTTATTCAAGCTAAAAATGGTTTAAATTAAACATGCTGCTATTCAGATAGTAGGTTTAAACAAAATTATAAAAGCGAGTCAACTAAAACTCTACTTAGTAAAAATCGATTCCTTCAACTTTTTGGAGGAAAGAAAGTATCTCTTCTATTGTATACTGCCTTAAAAATGGATTCTAAGAAAGATGCAAATCAACTATTCCTAAATCTTTTCTATCTTCAATGCAATCAACTATTTGCTGTTAGTAATTAAAACTAGTTGAACCTTGTAAGATACACATTCTCAAAGCTCCATCATTAGTCAAGGTTAAACCATTCATTATTTTCATCCTATCATACAACGCTATCTAAATAAGAGGATTCCACATGATTGATGCTTTTTTCATTAACTGACCTTGATTATTCTATTAAAAATTAGTATCATTTTCTTATAATTATTCTTCATCTTATTCTAATTCTAATTACGAAATGCTGCTGTAAATATTATCATACTTATCATAAATATTGAGAGAAGATGTTTCCTATTAAAGTATTGGCGATGAACTATTATAGTAGTTTTAATATAGCTTTGATACTTTATTATAACCTTCATTTTGCTAATAAATTTAGCTAAAACCTAGAGACTAGCTTAATGCAAAAAACTAATTATACTCTTATTCCATTTTGCTTGTTTATTTATTATAAAAATGTTTGAAATATCTATAGTTATTTATTTAATTAATTAATTATTATTAAATAAATTAATGGTGATATCTTCGAATTTTATTGCTGATACTATAATGAATTAGATTATTCATTTTATTTTAAATAAAAGTGATCATTCATTTGTTTCTAAGGAGTTAAAAGACACACATACATATATAATTTTGCAAAATTTGTTATAGACTCCAATCCAATTCATATTAGCTCAGAATTTATATCATTTATTCTATGATTATTCCTTTATTGCTTTTAAAAATCCTAATTATAAATTTGAATTATCTGGAGTTTTTCTTTATTTAGGCTAGCTAGCTATACAAATTATTAATTAGCTTAAATTTTATCTCAAAAAAAAATATCCAAGGTTTCTCATCAAACTTTGATTATTTTCTCTATTTTTTTTATCATCAAGTTGATTTTATTAAAATTTATTTAAATATGTATGTATTAATTCTCTATTATGTCTTAATATTTTTAAATTTTGTTTGTTGATTTTAATTATATCTAAAGCCTATCTATAAAAATTAGTGGTTTTTATATTGCTAATTATTAAATTAAAGTATTTTTATAAATTACTTAAATTGTGTTTTATTTTAATATGCCAACAAATAATAAGTTTTTATAGCCAAACAAACACCTAATTAAAATCTAGTGGTTTGGGTATGTATTAATGAGTTTAAAATTAAATAAAAATATATTTGAAATTGTTAGTTCTAAGCCATTTTTTTTAATTCCTTTTTATTTATTATAAATTTTTGGTGAGTACTGATTTAGGAAAATATACTAACCTCTCAAATTTTTTATATTAAGTAATAACTGCTTATTTGCTTTGCATTGTGATATTTTTAATTTTAATATAAAATATTTCAAACTTTTTCTTCATTTTTCCATCAAACTAAGTAACTAAGTAACTAACTAACTAATTAATTAACTATATTTTTCTTAAATATTTAAAAAGTGGAAATAAAATAAGTTTAAAGATGCATTTTACTTAGGTTCTGGTTTAGGAAAATGTACTAAGCTCTCAAGTAAGTTTTGTATTTAATCTTAAGTAAAAACAGTTTATTTGTTTAGAATTGTGATATTTTTAATTTAAACTATTTAAAACTTTTTCTTCATTTTTTCCTTCTAACAAACTAATTATCCATAAATTTTTTCTTTGATATTTAAAAAGTAATAATTAAATTGGTGATTAAAGAGCATCAGGTTTATGTTTTGTTATAAAAAATATCACAATCAATAATAAAGAAACTGTTTTTACAAAAGATTGAAAGATTAGCACAATTTTCTAATAAAAATGAAATTAAAACAATATTAAGAACTCTTTTGATTTATTAGCTTTTACATTTGATTAATTTATTTTTGTTTATTTTTTAGTGTGTTAATAATATCTTTTTTATATTTTTATTAATTTAACTCTTTTTTTTTTCATTTTTAACTTTTGCTTTTATTATTATTATTATTTCATTTCTAGTTCCTTGTTTAGGAAAGTGTACTTACTAGTCTCTTCTATTTGAAACATAATCTTTAGCAAGAAAAGTTTATTTTTTGGATTTTGAACATTTATAATATATAAATGTATTTAAAACAATATACTAACTAGCTCTTTTTAATTTATTTATTTATTAGCTTTTTATTTGATTTTTTTCTTTTTCTTTTTTGTTTTGTTAATTTTTTTTATTTAGTGATTTAAAATATATATAATATTTTATTTATTTTTTAATTATTTTTAATCTTTATTAAAAGGTGCAGCCAGCTAAATCTAAAGATAAAAAGAATTGAAAATAAACCAAAAAAAAGATTAGTTTTCTTAAATATAAAAGATAAAAAAGTAGTGAAAAAAGCAACAACAAAAAAAATAGTTTTTGGAAGGTTTGGTCTCAATTAAGGAGGAAAAGTATTTAAATATATAACTATTCTCGGATAATTATTTCTTGAGTAATATAACATACATTAAGTAGAAAGAAACCTATTAAGAATTATTTCTTTTTTTATTATTTTTAATTTTCTTTATATTTTTAAACTAATATTTATTATTTTACTAAAAATATATATATTTCCTCCTTCAGAAATAATTATCTGAGAATAACAATATGCTTTAACTACTTAACTCTAGTTCTATTTGTTAGAGAAAACAATATTTTAGAAAGTAAAATATGAATTTATTTCAATAAATATAATATAATTTTAAATTTTTGTAATAACAAATTTGTAAACTAAGCATGAAATATATAGAAAAATAAATATAAAAGTTTTTATAAGATTAATTAATTTATTTATTTATTTTCTATATATAAAATTAAGAAAATATCAGATAAATACTTTTTTATGTCAAATTTTATCAGTAATTGCAAACATTTTTAGGGATGATTATTGAACAATATAGACAATTCTTTATGCTTATTCATTTTCATCAGAGACAAATCATATTAAAATTTTCTACAAAAAAAAACTTTTCTTAAAATTTTCAATAAAACCAATTAAATTGAATTAGCTTATTTCTTATTTTAGCTGGTAAATTATAATGCCTTTTATTGATTTTAATGATTAAAGTTTAAAATAATATTAAAAAATTAAAAAATTTTTTAAATGATTCTTATCTTTATTATTCATATTTAAGTTAAAATTCAAACAGTGGTATTTTTGTGATATTAATTAATAACATTTTGATTGATCAATCTGAAACCACATGGTTTTTTCTCTTCCTTTTATTTAATTAACTATTCTTTTAGCTTAATTATCTGCTCTAGATTTTCTTTGTAAAATTTTTCTAAAAAATTTTGAGAATGAATCGAATATTCTACGTCTTCAAATAAATATGACAATTCTTTTTAAATGAATTCTTCAATTGATAAATGATTTGGATTTTTAAAAATCTTTAGTCTGTATTCTATAAGCCTTTGAAGTTCCTAAATATCAATATCAAACTCAATTAAAATGAAAGAATAATCGTTTTTCATCAAATAGTTTTTTTTGGCCTCTTCATTCTTGATAATATATTTTCTTTGTATCAAATTCAAATGGAAACCATCAAATGTTTATACTAAAATTACATATTTTTCTTCAGTAGGAGATTTAAACTGGTTATCCATTACCTCAATAGTTTGCTAAGTTATCTTATTCTTCTCTTTTATGAGATCTACTTGATGTTTTCTTAAATAAATTGAGCTCAAGCTAGACTAGTTTAAACCTAATAATTCTAAGTAGCTTTTTGAATATCCTGATCTCACAAATTCAGATTAATGAGCTCTATAGTTGTATCTCGCTATCTAATACCAAAACATTTGTGAAGAATTTTCTTTGTTTTTGGCATAAAACCTACCAAGATAATCATAGAAAAACTCAAGATGTCTTTATAATTCCTCGTCTTTTTAGTCAAGCTAAATATTGCTTAAATTAAACATGTTGGTTTCCTGATAATAGCTTTAAATAAAATTATAAAAGCGAGTCAACTAAAACTCTACTTAGTAAAAATCTATTCCTTCAACTTTTTTGAGGAAAGAAAGTATCTCTCCTATTGTATATTGCCTTAAAAAAGGATTCTAAGAAAGATGCAAATCAACTATTCCTAAATCTTTTTTATCTTCAATGTAATCAACTATTTGCTGTTAGTAATTAAAACTAGTTGAACCTTGCAAGATACACATTCGTAAAACTCCATCATTAGTCAGGGTTAAGCAATTTAATATTTTCATTCTATCATACGATGCTAACTAAATATGAGAATTCCACATAATTGATGCTCTCCTCAATAACTGAGATTGATTATTCTATTAAAAATTAGAATCATTTTCTTATAATTATTCTTCATCTTATTCTAATTCTAATTGGAGAATGCTGCAATGAATATTATCATATTTATCATAAATATTAAGAGAAGATGTTTCCAATTAAATTATTGGCGACGAGCTATTGTGGCAGTTTTAAAAGACCTTTGATGTTTAATTATAACCTTCAGATTGCTAATAAATTTAGCTAAAATCTATAGATTAGCTTAATGAAAAAAACTAATTATCCTATTTTTCCATTTTGCTTGTTTATTTATTTAAAAAAAGGTTGAAATATTTTTATTTATTTATTTATTTATTTATTTATTTAATTAATTACAAAAAATATCAAATTAATTAATAGTGAAATCCATTAATTTTATAAGCTGATATTAAAACGAATTAGAAATCTAAATTTTTAAATTAATTTTATTTTAAATAAAAACATCATTTTTTCTAAGGATATAGAAGACATTTTTTATTTTGCAAAGTTTGTTATAAACTTCAAGTCGCTTCATATAAGTTCAGAATTTATATCATTTATTCTTGGATTTTTCCTTTATTGCTTTTAAAAAATCCTAATTAAAAATTTGAATAATTCTGGACTTTTTCTTTATTTAGGTTTTTAAAGTTATTAATTAGCTTAATTTGTATCCAAAGAAACATTCAATGTTTCTGATCAGTGTTTCATTATTTTCTATATTTTCTTTTTTATCGAATTAATTTTATTTAAAAATATATCACTTCCATGAATTAATTAATCAGGGTAGTGCTGCTCTATAAACTATATTAATATAATAAATAAAAATTTATTAGAAAATCAGCCATCAAGGAAAATTTGGCAAGTAAAATAATTTTTTACCTCCTGTGTAGAAAAATATTATACTAATTGAACTAGTTTTTAGTTTAATAAATATTTTATTTGTTTTTTTGAATAATAGCTGATTTTTAAAATTGCAAAATGTTACTAATTGTTAAATACTTGAACAAAAAAATTATTTATATAAAAAGTAATAGGAAGGAAGTATCTAATTGGTTTTCCCCAAAAATTAATAATCAATAGTATTAAATATTGTATTTCTATTAGTAAATATATATTTTGTAATATAAATAGAAGTTAAAGAGAAAAGACAATTATCATTTATTATTTTATTTAAATTCTAAGTAATTATTATTTTTTCTTTTCTTCAAATATCTTAGAAAAATAAATAAAAACAATAAATAGGAGGGAAGTAAGTATCTAATTAATTTTCTAAAAAATTAATAATCAATCTTACTAAATATTGTATTTTTATTTGCAAAACAATTAAGAAGAAAGTCTAAAAATGAATATCTTGCAGAAATCTTCAGAAACACTTTTTTCTAAAGAAGAACTTTTTCTAGCTAACAATTATAGTAAGTGTCCAACTCACTCAAACAGGAAGCTATAATTCTTAAGCACCGATACTTCGTCTAAATATAAACTAAAATGTGTAGATTGTTTAGCGTAAAGTAATAATAGAAATTTTATCCCATTATTAACTTTGCTTGATGGAGATAAAAAAACCATATTTAGAAACTGGCCTGTTATCAACGATGACTAAATCTACGATGAATTAATTCAAATTTCTAAAAGAAATCCATTTAAAGAAGAAACCTAAAGGTAAATCCAGGCATTTTTTAAAGAGTTTAGAGTAATGATTGATCAAAAACTTGAAATAAAGCAGTCAGAAATGATGAAGTATACTGATGATTTCTATGATATAAATGATAAAATATTTAATCAATACAATCAATTATCTGCAAAAGAGGAGCTTGTAGATATTATTTTAAATTAAAGAGATGACTTTGAAAAATAGAATTAACAATTAAGTGAAATAGTTCAAAGAGTCTTGCTTAGTTAAGAGTCTTCAAAAAAATCTTTATTGGAAACTATTAGTCATATAAGCAATTTGCATGAAATAATTACTTTTGACGCTGCAAATAAAGTAAAATAAAACATAATTGAGCAAATAAAAGGTATCGATTTGTTTGTTGTTAGAAGCTTAGAAGATATGTAAATGAATAACCATTAAAAACAAGTAGAAGTAATAAAATAAAATATAAGCAGAATGAAAATTGAAGATATGAATACAAGTTAACTTATAATAAAGCTAATTAATTGTTAACTTAATAATTGTTCTAAGGAGCTACTTAATGAACTCACTTAAACTGTTTTAAAGATTGAAAATTTTCTAAACAAGTAATAGGTTAATATTGGCTAAACTGATGAACATCATACATTCCCATTTGACTAACTCAATTCATAATAAATGTAAAAACTTAAAAATTTAGCTCATCTTACAGAAAAACAAATAGAAGAAATTCTATGCCTGATCACAGAATTCAAATAAAAGAACCAAACCAACAATTCTACAATTTAACTAAGAAATCAAAATGAAGAGAAAGAAGCCTTAAATAGATTTAATCAATTAATCCACAATAAATCTAATTACTGCAAAAAAGAATTCCTTTAAAATTGTTAATCTGCAGCCTAGAAGTTCCCTGAATGTATAAATCATATTTATTTGCAAGATAAAAATATATTTTAAGAAAATTGTAATCCAATCAATTTTTAAGACATATAGGATAAATAGCTTAAAGATATAAATATTTTAGTTGCTAAAATAGCATAATTATAAAATTAATATGGCATAAATTATTAGTAAAGTTAAAATCCTATTTAACAATACTAAAATAATTCTTTTTAAGTTCAATAAAATTTAAAAGATATGATTAATGACAATAATATTAGCAAATAAATATCATAACTACTTGTTAATTATCCTATATTTGAACTCTTAA